TTTGATTTTCAAGACAATTCCATTTGTCGCTTTCAAAATTAAGTCTCTTGTTGACCTTTTTGAGAATTTCATGTATACTTCCCTGGGTAGCTTGTTTTTTTATATATAGATAAATTCTAGATATGTACGATATACCAGATCAATATTGTTTTGTATCACTTCCGCTGTTAAGCCTACCTTGGGAGCCAGCTCTTCACTTAAAATCTCTTTCAGGTTCTCTCCTTTCTGCTCTGGAATGTTTTGAAATCTCAGGACATACGTTGATTTTTCCATTTGAAGAAGTAGCAATTGTTGACTCTCAGAGATGTTTTCTTTTTCCAATACCTCCAGTCTTTGTCCAAACTCTTTGGACTTAACGTCAACTTTTTTCAGCTTCTTGGCTAACTCCTCTCTGTTTGCTGAAGTTTCTTTGAGCTCCTTTTGCAGCTTATCAAATTTGTCGTTAAGGTTGGTCATCTGGCCCAGTAGAGGGCGCAAAGCAGCAGCAATTATTTTAGGAAAGTCTATGGTTACTTCCGGTTTAGTGACCGGAGACAATGTGCTGGCAGTTCCTGTTGTAAGTTTCAATTTTGTCACCATTCTTTCTGCTCGCTGCGTCATTGTTTACAGTTAGCAAAAAGTTTTAAGACGTCTCTGAAGGTTTGGTAATTAAGCGCTTTCTTGCTAATCTGCACTAGACTCAGTCAAAATCTGCTCCTATCAAGCCACCCTTTCGGTCCCTGCTTTTCACTCAGTCTTTTCAGGATCGGGGATTCCCCTCCCCCTTCCACTTGTTTGGGGCTTTGGGGTGGCTTTACTATCAGTGTTTAGGTGGTTGTTTGCTAAATCGTGGGTTCACTCCCATTTTTACTTGCATTTGTTTAAAGTGTAGAGAAGATCGTTTCTTTCAGATCACTTGCACGCTTGGACTGGTGTGCGCCTCTAGGTGCCATTGCTGGCTCCGTGCCACGAGGACCTATTGGGGCAAAAAGGAGCCTTGATCCCTTAGCTTCTGCCTCTGGAGAGGTACCTCACGCACCCCAGGCTGCGCCCCCCTACAATGGGTCATGGTGGTCCAAGATCAACTCAGACCCCTTCCCATTGGCACATTTGTGGGCTGCTCACATCAGAGCTGCGATGGGGCGCACCTGCCTGCAAGTTGCCAAAAAACAGAAGTCAGGAGTGCTCTGTGAATAAACATTTTTTGCAGAGGCAAAGCCATTAAAAGCGTTAAGTTCAGTGTCTATGATTGGATAAGGGAGGGAATCTCTTGCTACAGAACCTCAGATAGTTGCAAGATTCTGTGCAGCTGCCAGAGGCTTCCAAGGTACAGTGTTGGTTCAGTTACCCATATTTGCTTTTTTATATATATTTTAACAAAAGATCCTTATAACCACTCTGTTAATAT